TGTGTGTGTGTGTGTGTGTGTGTGTGTGTGTGTGTGTGTGTGTATGACCGTGAATTTCCATACCGAAATTAAAGGAAACAAGGATGCTGAAATTCGGTCAGCGAATTTCTCGGCCATGCGCGAGATACTGAATCTAAGCCAGACTGCAACGCACTGGGCTTACCGGTACGATCATGTGTTTTTGCGTTAGACTTGCAGCGATCATACCGCTAAAAGCATGATTGGTTCTTGCGTTACAGTTTAACACCTAGATACATATTCGTCTGTATTAGCTTTGGATCGACTTCGGACTCAGGATCGGTCCTAAATCTCACCCACGGACGGTTGAAATTTTGACGAGAAAACTGTTAGCTCGGGAACCAGAAAAGTGGGAAAGCTAAAATTTTAGAGGGATGTTCTCTATTTAGGTATAATTAAAATTTCAAATTTAGTTCCTAAGTGAGCTTGGTTCTTACATACTGGCGCGCGAAAATTTTGGTGGGAAAATTGCTAACTCGAGGATCAGAAAAGCCACAAAGCTGAAATTTTGAGAGGATGTTCTCTGCCCGTGTGCGGTGCAAAAATATCAAATTCAGCCCTAATGGGACTGATTCCCATGTGTGGAATGTAAAATTTTTGACGAGATTTTCAGCTTGGGAACCATACAGTTTAAGAGGCTGAAATTTTAAGGAGTTGTTCCCTGTCTACGTACGATTTAAGGATTCAAATTCAATTCCTAAGTGTGCTTGATTCTAAAATATGAACATGTAAAAGTTTTATGCAATTTCGTCATATTTTTCAAATCTTGTACCTTGACCAATTTGCACTTTCAAAGACCGGTAATAGCCAGTTTTTTGTTTCCCTTTGTGCAAAATTTGTGGCAGTCATGCATGTTAGAGGTCTCGTGATATAGTACTTCCATCCCAGCTGACGCTTTTTCCCTCTTGTATGCAGGAAAAACGATACAGTGTCAAGATGAGTGCAAGCGTTAAGTTACGAAACAACAGCCACTTTTACTGTTAACGGTCTGGTTACTCCGATTTTAGTGCAAAAACGCATGATATATATATATATATATATATTGCATACCTTTACGATAATATGCTTTTTTATGTGTTTTTGCTGTGCGGCGCTACAGAAACGCATAAAAAATAAAAAAATGCCAACTTATGGGTCGATATGTTTGCTAGGAATTAATCACAAATCTAAACGCAGACAAATTTAAATATGTAAAAATCAAAAATACAAACCTGGAATTTTGAATAAAGATTTCCGACCTTGTACGAAGCCTAAAGTATTATGCTTCTTTCTATGGCCTAAGCTGTAAATGACCTGATGCCCAGAACCTTGTTAATTCAAGAAACAAAACTAAGAGCTGGGAATTTTTAGGATTTAGTCCGCCGCACCGTGCTCTTTGTTAAGCACAAGTTTCACGACGTGCTCTTAGAGAAAACACTGCAGATATGTTGCCCATAACCACTTCTTCAGTTATAATGTAGGGTCGTTCATGGATTACACGCCATGTGGCTGCTAACCCTACTGCCATATGGCCAACAGCTTTCCCTTAACAGTCTGACATTTTGGGCAGTGTTCTTTTTTACTCTGTTACAAGCAGTCGTCCTTTTGTGTAGCTGGCTTCGGAAGTTGTTTCAAGCCATACCGATTCCTCCTTGCTGTGTTTTTGCATAGACGCCACAAAAACATACTTTTTGCGTGTTTTCGTCTGTTTGTATAAGTGTCCTGGAGTTGTAATAATTCCATTCCACAGCCACGAAAGCTGGGAATTAGAAATATGATAGATTCATTTTTAGCCATGTACGGATCAGAAGATAATATGAACTTTTACCTTCGCCTATAACCCAGCTCAAAGGATATGAAAAAACACAACTTCCGAGCTTGGCGTATTCGCAACACAGTCGCTACAAGCAGTATGATAGAGCGCTTCTTAGCTGTGATTGTGTTACATACTATATCAGCCGGCGAATTGGTAAAAGAAGGATTTAGTGATGAAGTAACTTCTGTATATTTCGTCGCGACCATGAGCAGTGAGCTCGTATCAACTGGGTTTAAAAATTCACGTGTTGTAAGTGCGGGAATAGTTTGTAACCAAAAGTGGCTAAGGTAGCAGCTGTACTTTTACACAGAAAAAGCAGCGATTATCGAAAGAGGAAGGAAGACAACCGGCTTTTTTTGTTCTGAAAAGGTTAATGAAATTGTCCACGTGGGAGAAATTCAAAAAACTGCAGCAAGATATATAACATTTAACCAGTAGGACTTAAAATTTTATCAAAAAAAACGTAAATTTTGCCATAACTAATACAGAATTTATGAAACTTTAATCAGCTAGGAGTGCTGAATTCTATTAAAAGAGCAAATAAGCCCAGAGGTGTAAAATAAACGAAGGCGATAAAAAATGTCACGCCTAATATGGGGTGTAAAAATGAAGGGGAAGAGGAGGAGGGGGGGGGGCGGAGAGAGTGCTGTTCTAGTTGAAAGACTTGGTACTCAGCTAACGAATATATTTGGAAGCCTTCTGCTTCCGCTGTAACGCTTCATGCGCGCTGTGTGGCGGTAGTCAAATAATAGCTGCATACAAATTACTGGTTTTGCAACTTTTTAAAAATCTCTGAGACAGTTTCCCTTTTTCCAATGCTACTAAAATTTTTTCAGTAAATTTGAGGAGGTGAAAAATTTTTGTTATGACTCTTAGTTTTTATCATCATATATGATTTGCTGCAATTGCACGTAAAGCAATCTGGGTCTCATGCTTTTTTGAATTCGCATTTGCCAGTGTTTTTGAAGTGCTGGCAGTAAATAAAGCTAAGCAAAAATTGATGGTTATACGGAACTGCAGCTAACTTCAGTTGAGGAAAAGTCTGGTTTCGAGCGAAAGTGGAAAAATTAATTCCTTGTTCATAAGGTCATTTCTCCGTCCTGTTTGAATATGTATCACTTTATTTTTCAGAAGTATCCTAAGCAAATATTTTAACGGATGCTTACAAATTCTGGGTAGGAGTAATGCCCGAAGACTTGAAAACAAACGCATTTCAACTGCAAATCGATCAGAATAACGAAGAAATACCAGAGAACGAGGAAGGCGGTTGCAAACAAACTGCAGTGGTACTTTTTAATTGCCTAATGCGAACTGAAAATTATTTTCCGATTTTAGCATGTAGAACTGTTTAACACAGGGGCAGCAGCTGGTCCGTTAGTCTGAAAAGTTAAGTTTCCCGCTCAACATCATTTTCAATGAAAAAAGCTTAATTGATATTCTGCCACTTTTTATGCGCTTTTGTATATGCACAAGTGCAAAAACGTATACTGTAATGACCCATGATGTACGTATGTATGTTTGTGTGTGTGTGTGCGTGCGTGTGTGTGTGCGTGTGTGTGTGTATGTGTATGTGTGTGCTCCTGTCCGAGTATTTCAATTCGGCAACCAAGCAAGGTCCCGCTCTGAAATTTTGTCAGTGGGTTCCATGGCCAAATGCCACCCGAAGGCCGCGGCAACAACTCTCACATACTTTTAGGCCCTGCGTACGAGCACGTGAACGTTTTGGCAGAAAAATCGCTAGCTTGGAAACCAGAAAAATCGGGAAGCTGAAATTTTAAGGGAATGTTCCCAGCCCACGAACAACTTAAACTTTTCAAATTCAGCCCCAGGTGCAAGTGGTTGTCAGGTTCGACCCCATGAAACTTTTTGGCAAGGAAATCGCTAGCTTGGGAACCAGAAGAGCAGGGAAGATGAAATTTTAACGGAATGTTCGCTGCCCAGGCACAACGTAGTTGCACAATTAATCCCCTGAAATTCGAGGGCCAGTATATCACAAATTCCAGCTGCTGGGACTCCAAGCGATCTCACTACAGCACGAAGTACTGCAAAAACGCATGATCGCAGCGACTCGTCTGGTGAGCGTCGCCAATGATTTTAAATAAAAACGGTAGTTCTACGAAAACTTCCAAAGCTCGCAAAGTTTATTGATTTTTTCACAGTTACCAAGTTTTCACATTCAACATTTTAGTATTATCAGAATCAAGCAATCTTTGTGAGGCAGCTGCCAAAATAATCAAATTACTGGAATATTGCCAAAAATCTAATTTTTGTTGGCGGAATTATAGTGCGCCTTAAATCAACTAATGTGACTCGGTAACAGCTAGCTTTCAGGATGAGAATGATGATGAAAGTCATAATGACTGGACAGTTCCTGTATCGGAGCACGCGAAAAATACAGTTAATCCAATTCGACAAATATGTGATTCTTTAGTGGTAACGAAGCCAAAAAAGTTGCTCCTTCGGTTGGATCTTGGAGATCCCACTATTTCCGGAGCACTACCTGCAAATCCAGTCGCAATTGAAGCAATAACGGAGGCATTAAACAGTCGAAAATACGAAGGTTATGGACCTGCAGTTGGTAAGTGGTATCTCCAGATTCTTTATTGACAAGACCGTAGTTGATCTAGCAAAGTGGCAAAATTCTTCAAGGAAGAAATTCTTGAAGGATTTTAGAATATCTGATTCAAGTGTTATGAAAATTTTAGAAATATAAACAGTGAAAATCCATGACCAGAGGATTGAAGGAGGACGAGGGCTTAAAATCGTCTACGTATTAACATATGCAGTCGGTTTAGCGTTACTAGACCACTGTAGAGATAGTCGAATTTTGATAATTTAATGAAAACCCCTCAAAAATGACACTTAGATCTTGTGTATAGGCAAACCTGTATTCACTGTGATCTGTCAATGTTTCATCCCTGAGCTGTAAACAGACAGCACGACTGGTGCGAAATGGTGTGGGATCATCAGTACAGTGCCCCGTTTCACCCTGTGAAAAGGAACATGTTGATTGTCCTAGGAAAATAAAAGACAAAGGGAAGAGAGAAAACCGTCAACGAGGAACACATGCATATCGCCGTATCTGAAAAGTTCTGTAAACGTTACTCACTCAAATGCCTCCCACATGTCAGCTTAACAGAGCTGAGGGAAGGAGAAGCTCACGACGTTATCCTGCATATCAAACAAGAGTTAGCCAGGAAAGATCCATAAAGCAATATTTTTGAAATTTTTCTGTAAGAGTTAGCATACAGTTCTGTATAAGAGGCGATCACTTACTTTAGCTATGTCGCTGCTCCACCATTACAAGCTGTAGTGATCACCTAAACCCAAAAGTGACCGGTTATTTTGGAAACAGTGCGGTCGAGTGATGTGCAGAGCGTGGAAATATGCTCAGTTCGCTGTTTAAGAACACCAATGCACATTTTTGCATGCGTGCTCGATGCACAGCTTCAAGTAAAAGTAGCTAACAATCACACCACTTGCAAATTCGCATTGTTTCAGGTATTTGGGAAGCCCGGGAGGCAATTGCAAGTCATTTCACGCATCCCGATGCACCAGTGCGAGCTGATTCGGTATTGTTAACCAGCGGCTGCTCGCATGCCTTAAAAATGGCTATCGAAGCACTGGCAAATCCTGGTGATAATATCCTTGTGCCTGCGCCCGGCTTCTCTCTTTACTCAACACTGATCAGGCCTCTCAATATCGAAGTCTGCTATTACATTTTTCGAAGATGGGCCACTGAAAATTCTTCAAATTTATTTATCTCTTCATCTTGAAAATTCAGTTTGGAAATCCCTAGGCGTTGTGGCTCACAAATTTTCACCACTTAATGGAGGGAAAATCCATCCGAAGAGAATTACGGTTTTAATCAGCCAAATAACAAAGTAAGTTCTGCAAAAACAGCTGAGAACATTAGTATTTTCTGTCCAGGAGTTAAAACGCTAAACAACCCAACAACCACAGTTTTCGGGAAAGAAGCATAAGATGTATAAGATCTGCTGAAGCGAGGGAGATGCTGATTAAAAAATGTCAAAATTTTAGGAGCGGCATTATCGCATCGATTTATCAAACGGTGCACAACTGGACATAGCTCAATTGAAATCGCTAGTGGACGAGCGAACGCGCGCAATTATCATCAATAACCCACCAAATCCGACCAGCGTTGTGATAAGTAAGGAGCAACTGGAGTCAGTGCTACGGATTGCTTATGAAGCAAGGATTCCAATCATCGCTGACGAAGTGTACGGAACAATGGCCTACAATGGAGCACAATTTTATCCACTGGCTACCTTGAAGCCTAAAGTTCCTGTGCTTACCTGCGATGGTATCGCAAAGAGATATCTGCTGCCCGGTTGGCGACTTGGCTGGATAATCGTTCACAATCGATACGGCGCACTGACCGAAATCCGGGAAGGCCTGGTGGCATTAGCTCAGAAAATCGTCGGGCCCTGCGCACTTATCCAGGGTGCGTTGCCACGCATTCTGCAGTGCACGGGAATGAGCTTCTTCGAAGCAGTGAATAAAATTATCAGCTGTAACGCGAAGATCGCATTTGATAGTCTAAGCAGAGTGCCCGGTCTGCGCCCACTGATGCCGAATGGTGCGATGTTTATGATTATTGCCATTGACAAGCAGATCTACGGCACCGAAGAAGCATTTGTTCAAGATTTACTCGCTGAGGAGAGTGTGTTTTGCCTGCCGGGACGAGCGTTCTACTGTTCCGGCTGGTTTCGTCTTGTACTTGCTCACAGCCATCGGGATATACGTGAAGCTTGCTCTCGGATTGTTGAGTTCTGCTCACGACGACGATCAGCTACCTGCCAGTGAAAACTATTACACATGATTTCAGTCCAAGTGATCTCTAATTCCGCGGCCATTCACAAGTTCGTGTTCGTTTTCTGTAGCTCATAAACTAGTATCTGTGCGTGAGAACAAGTCTGACTTATTTTCAAGGCTAGTATTTTCGGACCGGCTTAATTCTAGTATTTGTAAAAGTAAGCATCTTCAAGTGAGCTTTTTCGACTCTTTTTTGCATTAATTCTGATTTTGAATTTGGTGTTATTTGAATAATTTTCATTTGGAGCAACTTGTCATTTGAAAATGAATATTGACATTTCTCGGGCTGGAGTTAATTCATTTTTTGAATGCGGATTTTCGCTACATTCCAGGTTTGTAAAAAGTTTGAGGATTGCTTACTGGTGTGGCATAGATCACCGGTAATTTTGCTGAAAGCAATTTTTCCACCTGGTCTACCTGAAAGATATAGATATATGCACCCACAACAATAACGAATACAATTTTGGTCAAGCACAACTTCAGGTTAAAACAAGCTCAAAACCAACGTTTATACCTTCAGGTTATCAAGATCTACGGCTTGGCGTAACTCAGTGTTGTCATTTATGCATGCTTGTTGTAGGCCGTAAAGGAAAATTGAAAATTTGCTGTTTTTTTTTTTTTTGGTCTTTTTTTCTCTCTCTCGATATTTTTGATAATTTATTAATAGCTTAGGATTCTCAATGGAAATGAATGATTTAGCATGAAGGGAAATTAATTTTTCTAAGTATATGATTGACAAATGCAAATACGATGCACACATTGTCACTGTTTGAGCACTTCTTTGCGGTCTTACAAATGCAAAGGCAAAAACACGCAGTACAGTAGGCTTATGTTTGGATGATTAGACTACACAAACTACAACCTTTAATTTTGGATGTACATTTTGCACCGTTTTACCAGGTCATAAAATCAGCATCTCCATTCGAATGTGCTTTTTAATCTAACACATTATTTTAGGCCCAAGTTCGATTTGGGAACCAGAAAAGATAGGAACTCATGAGCCTAATTTCCTTCTTAGTGTAATTTATACATCTAGAAATTTGCAGTTGGCCAATTATCGTATTTTAGTCTGCGGCCGTATGGCCAATCCAATAATTTCGGAAATAAATGAACTTAAAAATCGAAAATTTTGAAATTCGTCGCAGCATAATGAAAAGTAAATGAGAGAAAATAAAATATGAAGTCTTCCTGTGCTCTAACCATCTTCGGTCGCTTATTCAAATATCAGCAGGCATTATAATTTCAGGACGCGGGGGTAAGCAACAATTCTGAAATTCTAGTACATTTCGTGTGATAAAATTGTCTGAAAGCTACCTTGATCAAGCCAAACCAATTTCCGTAAATTTAGCTCCATCCCTATACAACGAATTTGCAGCAAATTGATTTGGGAACGCACAAAGAGCCGCTTCTCGGGGTGTGTAGGAACTTATTTTTCATATCGCTGCACTAATTAATCAGCTTAAAAGAAAAGACTCTTTTTTACTTACACAACTGAGCTAAACTGCTAGTTGTGTTATGTCAAAACTAGATCAGATCGAAGCCAATACCAGCCACAAGCTGTCAGGTCGGCCTGTCGATAGCCACCTTCCTTCTGTGTTACAAACGGGCTGCGATTTAAGAGCTTATCCCAGTTGTTATGCCAGTCCAACATCGAAATTTATCAACGAGTCATAAAGGGAGAGACTGCGATCTTTTGCATAATAGTGGCGCTGCCTGTCGTTTTATCATGCCATCCAGCACATATCATAAATGTTAAAGTGATATCACATAAAAGAGAGGTATCTTTGTGCTTTTGTTGCAAGTCAGATACTGCACGTAGCTCCGCAGAGCAGTTATATTCTGCAATAAATAACTGAAAGCCAGCGGTGCTGTGTCACAAAAAGTTTATCGGAAGTCTCAAATTTGGGTTATTAAATCATAAGCGAAATGTACATGGACACTAGTCGCGCACACACAAACACCAAAATATGTATATGCTTATATACTCGACCTACGTAACTGAGATGATGCATCACTGAACTTGTCATGCATCTCCTCAATTACACAGAAATGGCCCATTTAGTTAGACAAGAACTTGATTTCATAGGCTAAGCCTCCAAAAAGATGTGATATGAATCAAATCAGCTTCACACGCAGTCGGAAACTTCGTGTCGAAAATTTTAAACTTTTAATTTTGTGACTATAAGATATTATTAAATTTAAATGTACGGTAAAAAGTGAGGGCACGGAACTACTTCAGAATTGGTTATGAGTTTCTTAGACAATTACACGGCTAAAAATTTCTTCCATTAATTTCCAGAAATGCGTCAATTCTGGTTGATTGATGAAATTTTGCTCATTCCTTTTTTTTAAACCTGGAATCAGAGGTTGTGGTAGGGGACAAGAAGGTGAATGTTCGTTTTTCAGCTTCCGGTCTTGTTTGGTATAAGGGGTTCTTGGTTTTTATTATTTGTAGTTTCAGAAGTTTATAACTTCCGAAAATAAAAACACATATGTGACTTCACCATAATGCGTTTTTTCTTCGCATAAATAGTTCATGGATGAATGAATACATAGAAAATAAGCAGATTCAAAACAATGTACAGCTACTTAGGAAAGAAAAGACGTTCTTCACTGTGTCAAAGACAGACGAGATGAAAATCAAGGTGCAGAGGCTTGCTAGCACAAATCCGGCTCCTGAGTACGAAGCATGGAGGAGGAGATAAAGATTGATATGAATACAGCGTTCACTAGCAGGTGCACTACAAAGGATATAAATACAGTAGTGGTTAGAAAGTGTGCTGAAAAAGTAAATAAATATGGTAATAACTGTTAGGTTTACTGAAAAAGTAAGTAAAAAATCCAACAAAGCATGTGAATGAAGTTTTTTGCTGGATAACCAGCTGCAGCAGTGCCCAAAAATCATTTCTTCTGATGACTGCGATTTCAAAATGCTTAGTATCCCTGATAACTCTGAGTTACATCCACTGGTGAGCTGACTGTGTTGATAGCTGTAAATGGTGCATTTTGATATGCGCCTCCTCCAGCGCTCGATCCTGTAATGTTTTTCATCGTACTAAATTCAAAAAATTTTGTAATTGAGAAAAGCCCTTTGTGTCTAACAAGAATAGAATTAGTTTCATGCAGTATTATTGAAAATCATCATCACTGTGTTAGTTAGTGAACTAGGAATCACTTATATAATCACATCTCGATAAGGCTACGATTCCAGGCAGTGTTGCTATTTCATAAAGACACTATTTCATAGTTGCAAAATTATTGGCACCCTCTTCTCACTGTAATCAGACACGCTAAAAAACTGAAATTTCACCAGACCATACAGAGCAGCACCACTGACTCAGCATGTCTCTCTCTCTCTCTTCTGAATGTAAAAAAAAAAAAAAAAAACCAACTAGGAGCTAACTGTTACATTCTATCAGTAGTGACGCAAGAATACACAAAAATTTACCGAGTGCACCGATACTACTATCACCCCCATAGCCATAATCTGGCCCAGCTTGCACACCAGAACTAAAATCTTGCTCGTATGATGGGACGAAATTTGTTAACGCGCCTTCTTCGTATCGACGCCAAGCGAAAAATGCTGCTCCACTCTAAAATTACAAATACAAACAAGCAGGGATTTTTTTCATGCTGGAAAAAAGATGCAACTTTTCACGTTTTTATGCGTTTTTTGCAGCAACGCAATGCGAAAAACGCATGTTGACGAGAGGTTGTCTGTGTGTCCGTGTGTCTGTGTGTGCGTCTATCACGCACTTTCATCTCAGG